ATATCGTATCTTCTGCTGCTGGACTCACTGTCTTAGGTAATGGCACAGCCTAACCCAGAAACCTTAAGGAATCATCCCCACATATCCACCAAATCCATCTCATCCAGTTAGATTCCCAAGTCCTATTGATTCTACTATTTAACATCTTTCAAAAAATTGTCTCCATCCCTACTACTACTGCCCTATGTTAGGCCCTCATAATTTTCCCTTCTGGAACATTTCAGTAGTTTCTAATTAATCTTGTCCTTTAACTCATCTTCCACTATGTAACCAAATCTGATCACACTTCTTTTTAAAGACCTTTAATGGTTCCACAGAATAAAGCCCCAAATCCTTAGCCTAGCAAATGAAACTTTCTATTACCTGATCTGGGTTCCTGCTTACCAATCTCCACTGGCCTGCCCCCATATCAAGTCTCAATATTTCAAGTTTCTAAAAAGAACAATGCTGCATCTTTTGCTTGGAATGCCTTTCCACTCTTAATCTCATTGTTTCCCTGCTCCTCTAATGAACTTTTAGCTCATCTTTCAAGAACAAAAGCAAGCACCACTCCCTTTCTAAAGCCTTTTTCACTCATTCCTAATTACCTGTTCTATTTTTAGTATCACCCTATAGCTGTATTTACAATCACAAAGTTCTGTAATCACTAGTGCCAGATTCTCATTTTAGAAAGATAATGCTCATTCATCTTATTATCCCAATGAACAACACAATGCCTGATGCCAAGTGGGCAATCATTAAATACCTGTGGAACAAGTAACCTTAAAGGTCTTTAACCAAAATAAGTAACAAATGTTTTAGGTAATAACCTACATAACATCAATTTGTTATACAAGTGCGTCATATTACTAGAATCTTTTAGTTCTCAAACAAGATTCAACTAGCTAATGTTCTAGATTAGAATACTTTTACGAGGGGCACCTGGATGGCTCAGTTGGTTAAGTGTCCGACTTCCGCTCAGTTCATGATATCGCAGTTTGTGAGTTCCAGCCCCGCAATCAGGCTCTGTCCTGACAGCTTGGAGGCTGGAGCCTGCTTCAGATTGTGTGTCTCTCTCTCTGCCCCTTTCCTGCTCGTTCTCTCTCTCTCTCTCTCAAAAATGAACATTTATAAGTTTTTTTCATAAAAAGAATACTTTCACAATGAAACTTTTTATTTACATTTTCAGTACTTAATATAAGCGGAAGTTCTCTTGTAACTAATGAAAATAACTGAATAAACTAAAAGCATTCTTGATGGAATGAGGCCACCTGAGTCATTAAATATTTATTTCAAGCTATAACCTTATTTAATACTATCTACACACTGAAATTAAGTAAATGTTATTTTACCTCATACCTAGCTTCTGTGTAACGAAGATCTTCTAGTTAGTGGATAACTTAACATCTTAACTGATATAATTCTTTAGGTGATTGTGTGGTTCTGAAATATGAAACTCAAGCCTGAAATGGACTTTCCATAATTAAATTATAACAATAATACATTCCACACTCAGCCCCACCTCACCCTTAATTCAGCTTTTATTCTCTTTATATATTAAAATGTTTTATTTTAGAATAGTTTTAGATTTCTATAAAAGGTGCAAAGATAATTCAGTGTATTCCTATAAATCCCATAATCCATTTTTCCCACTGTCAACAACTTTCATCATCATGGTACATTTATCACAACTAATGAACTAATACTGATATGCTATTATTAACTAATAAAATCTGTACTTTATTCAGATTTCATTAATCTTTCTCTAATGTACTTCTTGTGTCTCAGGGTTCCATCTAGAATACCAAATTACACCTAGATGGTCATTTCTCCTTAGGTTCCTCTGGTCTGGGGTGATTCCTCAGAATTTTCTTGCTTTTGACAGTTTTGAAAAGTACTGGTCATATATTTTATAAAATGTTCCTCCAACAAGGGTTCATTCATGTGGCGTTTTTCTCGTGGTTAGATCGTGTTTATGGGTTTTTGGGAGGACAACACCACAGATGTAAAGTACAATTCTCAACACATCATAACAAGGGTACATATGCTATCAACATGACAACATGGATGATGTTAAATTTGATAATTTGGCTACAATAATGTTTGCCTTGTTTCTTTGGCATAAAATTATTTCTCCCTTTCCACTATATTTTCATCTAAGCAAGTCACTAAGCATAGCCCACATTTAAGGGTAGGGAGTTATGTTCTACCTCCTGAGGAGGCAATATCTAAAGAAACTGGGATTCTTTTGTAGGTGTACTATCTTACGTATCTTAGCTATCTGCTCATACATCTATTCACCTTTAGATTATCAATTATGTTAAGAGTAAGTAATTTTCATTGTATTTCCCAAAAATCTTGATATAGGAAAGGCATTTGACAAATGCCAAGTATTTAAAATTCCCAAAAGCATACAATAAAAATTATCTGGGTATGATTCACTATTGTATCCTCAGCACCCACAATTTAGTGTCTGAGGTATAACAGGTCCCCAAAACTATTTATTGAATTAATAAATTACAATTTTGGGGGTGCCTGGGTGGCTCAGTAGGTTTAGCGTCTGACTTCAGCTCAGGTCATGCTCTTGCAGTTTGTGAGTTTGAGCCCTGCATCAGGCTCTGTGCTGACAGTGTGGAGCCTGGAGCCTGCTTCATTCTGTGTCTCCCTCTCTCTGCCCCTCCCCTGCTTGTGCCCTGTCTGTCTCTCAAAAACAAATAAACATTAAAAAAATTTTTTAAAGTAAATAAATGAATTACAATTTCATAATTATAGAACATAAGCAGCATGGAACAGAGAAGTCTTTTTATTCAGTACTATAGCTCCAGATAGTAAAATAGTACATAGTTCTAGGCAAGTGTCCAGTAAGTATTTGGTGAATGAATGAATAAATTGAAAAATATAACCTCTTATTTACCCATTACCCAGTATGTATAAAAATGTTTTACATAAGTATTTCCCTGTTATATAGTTTAAGAGAGGAAATGACAGATTTAACTAAGAAAAAGTATCCCAGAAGGCTGAAAAATATTCAGTAACCTTGATTTAATATATCCATCTTCCATTTTATACCAAGATAGCCTCTGAATTTTTCTATACTATTTAAAACTTTAAAAATTACATTCAACACTTAGTAAAAATAAATATATTCACTCAATATTTATCTGAAAAATATTAAATGATCACTTATTATATTTTTAAATGTCAGGGATACAAAACTAAGATGTGCATTATTTCTTGGTATACAGCTTTGTGGAGCTCAGAGCCAAAAGGGATAATGGGCAGCTAAATAAGCAATTATAATCAGGTTTAATATTTATTCTAATAGGTTAATTTGAGGGAGCAGAAAAAGACCCAGGGCACACAATTGAGGAGGGCTTCCAGGAATAGAATACAAGCTAAAATTAAGAAGGAATAGGAGCTACGCCCAGCATGAGGAGAGACACAAGGAACATGGTGGGAAGCACATTTGGGGGGATGAAAGAAGTTCCTCTAGACTAAAAAATGACAGAGGCAAGTATGAGAGACGTAAGGCTACAGAAGTGAGTAGGAGTCAGCATATGAAAGGTCTTCTGTACCATTAAGCAAGTTTGGATTTTATCCTGTAAGTAAATGGAATTCAATAAAGGGTTTTAGAGTAGAGAAGTGACATGATCAGATATAAATTTGAAGGGGGAAAAAGAACTCATTTTGAGCATATGAAAGGAAGAATAATGGATACAAGGAACCCAGACAAGAGACTATTTTGAAGGACAGTGGCCTAGACTAGGAATGTCAAAGGAAAGTACAAATGAATTCATGCACTATTTAGGTAGAATCAACAGATTTTGGTAATGTATTACAAGCAGAATTTAAGCAAGAGGAAAAGATGAAGAATGTATAGCACCATCAATCACTAAGATGATGAGCTATTACTGATAGGCAGGCTGACAGATAAAAAGACAATGATTTGTTTGGGAGACACTGAATCTGTTAACATCAAAACCACACAGCTACATGGAACTGGAAGTTATGAGAAAAATAAAAGCTAGAGCTAGAACTTAGAGAGTAATCAGCATATAAATAGAATTGAAGTACAAGTGGAACTGAAATCACCTAGAAAAATGTGAGAAGTAGGAAGAGTACAAAGCATGGGTGGAAGTTGCAAGGCTTCCAATGTTTAAGAGGTCTTCAGAGATCCAAACACGCCACAGAATATGCCAGTGTTTGTACCAAGGGCAACATCAATAAATAGCAATACAAAGCTAGCTTATAATTATTTTAGCCAAGATTTGCATGCTTAATTAAACAGGTCCAAGAACACAAGAGAAAAACTCAGCATTTGAGCCACTTCATCCCAACAAGAACAGTGTGGTTTGGCAAAAATCGGAATCTAAGAAAAAGATGATATGGAGCTCTAGACTAGTTTTACCAACAGCTACCTATGTGACCTAGGCAATTAAATCTCAAGTTTTTTCAATGCATAAGATGAGCTCTCAAAAAGTCCTTTGTAAGTCACAGTCCATGAATCTATTCAGATTATTCTATAGTTAAATTAGATTTACAAACAAGACAAATATCATAAAAAGGATAATTAATACATAACCGTAGAGAAGACCAAGAACTATGGATTCAGACAAACCCAAAACTCAAATCCCTCTTTCATTTACTATATTGTGAATGAGAGCAAGTTGCTTAAATTCTCTACATACCAGTTTGTACAGCTATAAAAAGTAGATAATATTAAAATCTATCTCACAGAATGTGAGAAATTAATGAGAAAAGGTACATATAAAAGTGCTTGTGCACAATCCTTGGTATGTAAGAACACTTACCAAATGTTAGCTATTATTGCTGTTTTAAATACCATTAGTATACACTCTAAGATACATAATATATATTGACACTTCCAATATACAATATTATATACATATATAGCACTTTCAATACCACAAGCTATATAGAGCAGTGGCTGCCATATATTAAAATATGATAGAGAAGAGGAAAGAGAAGACAGAACAGCTTGTGCATCTTAGCCTCTGTACCTGGTGGTCCTGCAGCAGCTGCATCTTCCATAAGTTCTCCCTCTTCCAATTCCATGTTGTTGTATTCCACATCATTTTCTCCTGACCTAAGAATATACAAAATTCATCATTCCTATACAGTAAGGACAATTAACATTTGTCACACCTCGATGAATTTTAAAACAGTAGTGCATAGCTTTCTCCTACAAAGTAAGACATGCTATTTCTCAATACGGAAATGAGGAAAAGGACTTTTAATATTATCATGGTAGTGTTAATGTTCAAACTACCTTTCAAAAACACCGAGATGGTTGGCAACATTTTTCTTTTGTAAAATTTACTTATTTATTTTGAGAGACAGAGTGTGAGCATGGGAGGGGCAGAGAGAGAATCCCAAGCAGGCTCCTCCCTATCAGAACAGAGCCCAGTGCAGGGCTTGAACTCACAAACCATGAGATCATTACCTGAGCTGAAATCAGGAGTCGGACGCTTAACTGACTAAGCCACCCAGGTACCCCAATGTTTAATTTTTAAAATAGAAAATATGAGAACCATTGTAAGCAAAAGGAACTATATAGCTTTAAAGAATTTATAACTTAATGGTAAGAAATTAGGCTTAAAACACTACCTTTAAGGTTAAAAAAAGATCAAATTAACATATATGATTACTTTTTTTTTTTTTTTTTTTTTTTAAAGAGAGAGAGTGTACATGCGAGTGGGGGAGAGACAGAGAATCCCAAGCAGGCTTGACATACAGTGTGGAGCTCAATGCGGGGCTAAATCCCACAACTCTGGAATCATGACCTAAGCCGAAATCAAGAGTCAGTCAGCTGTTCAACCAACAGAGCCACCCAGGCACCCCATCAATACTGTTTTCTTAAGATGGTATTTCAGAAAAAGGGTGTTGCCTCCTACCAAAGTCCTCACAAAATCTTTCCTACCAAAAAAACTACTATTGCTTTATTTTATTTTTTTAATTAAAATATTTCTTTTAATTTCCTTATTTACTTAGTGATTGATTTTAAGTAAGCTCTATGTCCAACATGGGGCTTAAATTCACAACCCCAAGATCAAGAGTCACATATTCTACCAACTGAGACATCCAGATGCCCCACTTATTATAATGAGAGTGCTATATGGAACAACACTAACCAATGCCAGTTTGGGATATTTAAGGAACTCACAAGGGAAATGAAAGCAAAATGAACTATTGTGACCTAAGATAAAAAGCTTCTGCACAGCAAAGAAAACAATAAAAAAAACTAGCGGTGCCTGGGTGGCTCAGTTGGTTAACCGTTGGCTTCAGCTCAGGTCATGATCTCATGGTTCATGGGTTCGAACCCCATGTTGGACTCTGTGCTGACAGCTCAGACCTGGAGCCTGTTTTGGATTCTGTGACTCCCTCTCTCTCTCTGCCTTTCCCCTGCTCATGCTCTCTCTCTCTCTCAAAAATAAATAAACATTAAAAAAAAAAAAACTACTAAAAGGCAACTGACAGAATGGGAGATAATTTGCAAATGACATGTCAGATAATAGGTTAGAATCCAAAATCTATAAAGAATTTATCAAACTCAACACACAAAAAGCAATCCAGTGAAGAAATGGGAAGAGCACATGAATAGACATTTTTCCAAAGAAGACACAAACACATGAAGAGATGCTCAACATCACTTATCATCAGGGAAATACAAATCAAAACCACGATGAGATACCATCTCACAGCTGTCAGAATGACTAAAATTAGCAACAGAAAAAAACAGATGTCGGGGAGGATACAGAGAAAGGGGTACCCTCTTACACTGTTGGTGAGAATGCAAATTGGTAAACCCTGGAAAACCGTATGAAGTTTCCTTAAAAAGTTAAAAATAGAACTACTCTATGATCCAGCAACTGCACTACTAGTTACCCAAAGAATATAAAAACATTAATTCAAAGGGATATAGGCACCTCTATATTTATAGCAGTGCTATTTACAACAGCCAAGATATGGAAGCCCAAGTGTCCATTGACTGATGAATGGATAAAGAATATTTGGTGTACACACACACACACAGGAATATCATTCATCCATCAAAAAGAATGAAATTTTGCAATTTTCAACAACATGGATGGAGCTAGAGGGTATAATGAACACTAAATGAAGTCAGAGAAGGACAAATATGATTTCAATCCTACGTAGAATTAAAGAAACAAAAGAAATGAGCAAAGAGAGAAAATGTGTGTGGGCGCACGCGAGACAGACAGACAGAGAGACGGGGGTAAGGGGGGGAACTGGGAAACAGACTCTTAACTATAGAGAACAAACTAAGGGTTACCAGAGGGAAGGTGGGTGGGAGAATGGGGGGAACAGGTGACAGGGTGGGAAGACATTTATAGCCTCAGAATATGTCCCTATAGGATATTTATTAACTACAAAGGGAAAAATTAGTAATTTCAGATTGGAGAACCCTGACAGACATCACATTAACCAAGTGATCTAGGGGCGCCTGTGTGGCTCAGTCAGTTGAGTGTCCAACTTCGGCTCAGGTCATGATCTCACGGTTTGGGAGTTCGAGCCCCGCCTCAGGCTCTGTGCTGACAGCTCAGAGCCTGGAGCCTGCTTCGGATTCTGTGTCTCCCTCTCTCTCTGCTCCTCCCCTGCTCACGTTCTGCCTCTCTCTCTCTCTCTCTCTCAAAAATAAACAAATATTTAAAAAAATTATTTTTTAAACCAAATAATCTAAATTAATGGTACAGAGATAAAAGACATGTGCTCTCCCACTACTCCATCATATGAGGTCCTGAAAAGGTATCATAATTTCTTTAGTACTCCTGTCTAAAGTGCACAATCTTAATTTAATTGTGAAGAAACATTTGGACAACTCCCAAATTGAAGCTTGCTAGGAAAGAACTGCTCTTACTCTGAAGTGTCAAAGTCATAAACAAGCAAACAAACAAACAAAAAAGATCAGGTGATCCAAATTAAAGACTAAAGAAACTTAACTAAAAGTAATGTAATGCTGCTTTGGATCCTAGACCAAAGGACATCAATGGCAAATTTTTAAAAGGTAACAGATTATAGTATTACATCAATGTTAAATCCTGAGTTTGATAACTATACTGTAGTTACATAGGAAACATAGTACACAACGAAAAGTATATTCACCTAACTCGAAAGTCTCACCAAAAAATATTTTTATAAAATACAGAAAAGAGGAACTAAGCAAAATATTAACATTTGGGGAATTAATCTGGACAAAGGGAATATGGGAATTGTTATCTAGCATTTTCTCCATTTTTCTTAAATTGAATAACTGAAAAATTAAAAAGAAAAACTAAAGATAAGTTTGGAACCCAGAGGTGTGAAGAAGGAAAACTATCTTTCCTTCAAGTTCCTTCATTTATATAAGATACTCTACAGCAAGTAAACATGCTGAGTATCTCCACTTTTAGGCCCAAATTTAGTTAATATGCTTCTAATAATTACTACTCAGATGCTTTATGGCAGTTAATGTGAGACACTCACATAGTTTCTTCATCAATGTCATTTTCTTCTGTGTTACTTGTTGCTGTGGAGCTGGCAGAGGAACTGCTGCCATCGAGGTGATTCACTTCATCTTCACCAACAAGATCCAGATCCAGATCTCCATCTGAAAGTTCATGCTAGATCAAGGCAAAGAAACAAGACTTCTATCTCAAATGTTTTTACTCATTGATCATCTGATCCAGCCAATGGACCAAGCACCAAAGAATAATGAAATGATCAGAATTCTCTCTCCTGTGCATAGGCAGTTGAGCCCATTAGAGAACAGCACACAACCACATTATCTGGTTCCACTAATAACTTATTGCTGCCATTTTCAGTTAGGCCTTCAATGTGACTAGAGATGCTTCATATACTCCACTGCCGATGCCAGTGAGGCTCTTCATAGGGTAACATTTCAAACCATCACCCTGTAGTCCGACCTAATCTCTAACATCAAGGACATCATAAAACTCTTGTCACCTATCTGCATAGAAAAACACACTGGTTATTATGTGTAAATACCCCCAAATTTTACCTGCCCTACCTCCAAACCCCATCATTAATTCCATTAACACCCCTTTCACAGGTTAATTGCTTCACCTGAGTGCTCCATTATCTCCTTAAATAGTTTGTTTTGTCAATACCTTAACTTACCTCTCTCCCCACTGGCTCCTTCATTTTAGTACATACTTGAAGTGTCCTATCTTACAAATAACAACTATAACAACAAAAGCTGATCTCTGCATCACTGTCTTACTTTTCAACTCTATTCTTTTTTATGTTTATTTATTTTGACAGAAAGAGTGGGAGAGCGGGGGAGGGGCAGAGAGAGACTCCTAAGCAGGCTATGCACTGACAGCGAGGGCTCAATCCCATGAACCACGAGATCATGAAGTGAGCCGAAATCAAGAGTTGGATGCTTAACTAAGTGAGCCACCCAGGTACCCATAACTTGAAACAGTAACAATCACTTCTCAAATTCTCATTCTGGTTGTTGTTTATCTAGCATAAAACCTGGCTATCTCCCAAATCCTAAATGATTCTACCTACATATGCAAAAATAAGGTACTGTACTAGTTTTAGTGAATGGAAATAGATCAGATTTGTTAATTCCACAATTTGTATAGTTGTATATTTTCCGGAATGTGTGTCAGTTTGTTTGGTAGAACATACGTTTTCTATAATAAATTAACTTTAGAGCCTTGTAACACTTTGATTCAACTTCTGACTTAATATTTACAGAAGGGCATACTCTACTAAAGAAAATAAATGGAGAAGTCCTTCAGTATATTGATTCCTCTATATATGTTGGAAACCATGGTCTTATCATTTCTCTTACAAAGCACAAAATGAATCTAAAACAAGTCTAATTATTACATGATAATCTTCATTCTGAATCTTTTCCTCTTCTTCATCCTCTTTGACATCTCTTATAGAAGCTGTAGTAGGACCATCCTGGAGAAGCATATCGGTGCATGGCATAGGCTTCTTAGCACGTGTCTCAGGAGTGTCATCATTTTGGGGGCTCAGATGATTATCTGGTGGTGACAAATCTCTTGATTTCTGACTTCGAGATAACTCAATAGTAAGTCTCTTTTAAAACAATAACAGCACACATAAACATGAGTCAAAAGAAGAGTTCCCTGGTACAGTAAAAATATTTTCAGTAAAAAGATATATCCAGATGTTCCTAAAAACATTTTTGAACCATTTCTCTCACTCCCTCCAGGTTTTGCTTATGGAAAAATCTATGGCAAAAAAAAAAAAAAAAATCTGCCCAATTTACCCTCATTCTTCTTATATGCAGCCCAAGCTGCACATACAATTAGCAAACTGTAAAGTCAATAAATATAAGCAGTTTTAAATAGTACACTTAACATGAAAAATCTCTCAAAGCATGTATTCATTCATATTTCCTCCCTTTTCTATTAACCATTCTCAGCACTTCAATCCTATTACCCCATCTCAATTTCCACTGGCAGAAAGAAGAATCCCTTACATAATGTAATTTACCACTGTAAGATAAAAATTCCTTAACTGATCCTCCATAATGCTCCATTCAAGAATAGTGAAAATTCAAGATGTGGCAATTTTCAATTATTCTATAACTTAGAATCCTTTGACTTCATGACAGCATGGAAAACAGAAATACTCAAGTCATTGAGAAAAACACAAAATGTTTACCTCAATGAGAGCAGCAGTGTCCAATACAGTACGGAAATGTTCTATATGTGCAATGCCCAATAGAAGCACTTGAAATGCGGCCAGTACAACTAAAGAACTGAATTTTTTATTTTAATTAAGTTTGCATAGCCATATGTGGCTAATGGCTAACAAACTGTGAAGAGTGTAAAATTAGAGGCTCAAAGGTGGGAAGTAGATGGGAGAATAAGATAATTGGACTTTTCTACAAAATTACAAAATCTAATTACAAATGTATCAGTCCAAAAACACAATATGAAACACTAAACCCAAAATACATTTTTTCCTTACCTCTTTAAGGTTATTTATTTGTTGGATATAGCTAGTTTGTGCAGCTTCTAATTGAGTAATATACCAATGCTGGTCCCGGCATTTTTGAAAGAAAGTTGGAGAACGAACCTGAAACCTTAAAAGAAGAACTGCACATGAAACGTGATCCAAACAGTAAAATATTATCAACCAAGCCTTGATAACTATAAATTCTATAATTTTGTTTACTTGATTACATTACAACAAAGCTAAAATTCAAATTGAATTCAGAGCTGCTGGTATCAACCATTTATACATACAGTTTACAAATTAGAATGACGTAATGTACTGAGAAGTTCTCTTCAAGAGGGAGGCAAACCATAACAGACTCTTAACAATAGAGAAGAAACTGAGGGTTGCTGGCGTGGGGGGGGGGGGGGGTTTGGAGCGCTAAATGGGTAACGGGTATTAAGGAGGGCACTTGTTGTGATGAGCACTGGGTGTTGTATGTAAGTGATGAATCACTAAGCTCTGCTCCTGAAACCAATACACTATATGTTAACTAACTTGAATTTAAATAAAAACTTGGAAGAAAAAAGTTATCTTCAAGTCAGTTGTCTAAATTCAAACTATACTTTTGTAAAGAAATAACATTACATATCATGGTTAAAGCTCCCAAACTACTAGTTCAAATACATTGTTGATCATGAGATGGGAAGACCATGCTATGCAGGAAGAAAGAAGCTAAAGCTTTCCTTCCCCTTTCTTGCTTAGGTCAGGCACTACAAAAATAGGCAAAGTTTGTTTTAGACTCTGTTTTTTTTCTTTCCTGCCTCCATCTCATGTCCCCATTTTTCTTACTCCTCAATAAAAAAATAATTTAAAGGATCAACTATCCAGGACTGCTTTACTGTCCCCCAAAGAGTTGCATCCTCTAAATAACCTATATTCTAAACCCCTCCAGATAGCAGCTTAAATCAACCCTCCATATATCAGAATACAGCATATTTCAGGAGGGTTAGGGAAAAAAACAAGTATAATAAAGGATTTTAATGGGTAAGTGATAGGATCTCAATCTTTTAAGAGTTATCTGTACTTTTAAAACACTAATACCTACTAATGCAAAGAATCTCTACCTACGTCAGATGAATGAAAATGAGTCTATACTGAAAAAATTTTCAGTAACATGTAAAGATGTTTCTAAATTTTTTTTTTCAACGTTTATTTATTTTTGGGACAGAGAGAGACAGAGCATGAACGGGGGAGGGGCAGAGAGAGAGGGAGACACAGAATCGGAAACAGGCTCCAGGCTCTGAGCCATCAGCCCAGAGCCCGACGTGGGGCTCGAACTCACGGACCGCGAGATCGTGACCTGGCTGAAGTCGGACGCTTAACCGACTGCGCCACCCAGGTGCCCCGTAAAGATGTTTCTAAAGAAAGGAAGAGTCCCAAGAGAAAAGACTAACTTGGAAGCCTGCAAATCCTCTTTCCAGTCTTGTCACCTTTATGTTAAATACTATTCCATTTTTCGTAACATTTTAAAGCTAGTATAGGAATCTACTGACCATCTAGAATTATCTGCAGCAGGTAACTATTTCCAGTCAAGCATACTCAGGCATTAGAGGTCAGAGATTATTCACTCAATCACTAGCTTAAGTGGATACTGCCTACTCAGTATACACTGGTAAGACTTTCAAAAGACTATTACCTTTGAATACCTAATGAACTACAGCCAAGCCCACACATTATCATTAGTTAGTATATGTATCATCAAAACAAAAGCAAGCAACAGGTAAAATTCCTTAACTTTCTCATTTAACAAAAAGAGAATAAAATACATATTGATTCATATGTAGTTGTAGAAAAGCCTTAAAGTAACTTTCTGATATGTACATTTAAAATTCCTTCAGAATTTTGAATTGAGGTTCAAATTTTCAGCGATCTCCCATTAAATATTATGAGCAATAAGATAATTAAAAGCCTCCTCTCCACGAATCCTACAGCAATTTATTTATACTGCTATTATAGCACTATCTTTTAGAAAAAATTGTTTTTATCTACCCATTTCATCTTGATTTTCCTGAGGACAAAATCCATCTTATTCTTTCTTAATATTAACCCACTGCCACTCAGTAAACATTGCTGTATAAATGATAATAAGATATTACAATAGGAATCTGTTCCTGCACTAATATTCAAGCCTGTAAGTAAAAGTTTTGTTATAAATAGGGATGGCCTAAATAAAGAATTAGAATTTGGGCTAAACTGCATTTAAAAAAAAAAAGAAACTATTACACAGATTTCCACCAGAAAGATTCAACATTACTATGACTCCAATAAGGAGAGGACTAAGGATTTAAAAAAAAAAAAAAAAAAAAAGCTCTTGGGGCACTTGGGTGACTTAGTTAAGTGTCTGATGCCTGATTTCAGGTCAGGTCATGATCCCCGGGTTGTGGGACAGAACCCCACATTAGGCTCCATGTTGACAGCATGGGATTCTCTCTCCCTCTCTCTTTGCCCCTCTCCTGCCCTCCCTCTCTCTCTCTCTCTCTCTCAAAATAAATAAATAAACATTTTTTTTTTAAAGGCCCTTTTGTAGGCTGGTCAAATTGATGGCTGAATAATTTTGCTATCTTCCCTATAGTAAAGTATGGAACAGCAACAAACTATTTGTTTTGGCAAATAATAATAGTAATAACAAAACCCTGAAAGGTTATAAAATGGAACTAAAATAATTCCCCAAATGAAGGCAAAAACAAGAATCTTTTTTCCTACACTGAAAATGCAATACTCTTTTATCACTTATTCATTCTCCCAAAAGGGTTATGAAGAACACATACGAGTAAAGGTTCATACAACAGCAACTCCTACAGCATGCTCTGAATCAAAGAGCTCAGAATAAGTGGAAATTAAGAGTATACCAAATCAATCCCAAGGAAAATGCTCTGAAAATGGTTTTCATGGAAACTCCTTAAACTGTTAAACATTGTTCAAAACATAATTGAATCAGGACACCTGGGTGGCTTAATCACTTAAGTGTCTGACTTCAGCTCAGGTCATGATCTCACAGTTCATGAATTTGAGCCCCACATTGGGCTCTCTGTGCCCCTCCCCCAGTTGCTGTCTCTCACAAAACAAATAAACTTAAAAAAAAACAAAAAACCATAATTGAATCTACTTTTTTAATACTCAAGCTCTCACTGTCATCATCAAATTAAAACATCATGTAATGATGCTCCAAAATGTCTGACTTATACAGGGTTCCCCAGTATTAAACAGGGCTGTGCGGTTTTATAGTCAGTTTATGTTGTCCTTTCTTACAAATAACACACCAACTACTTATCACTTAATTTGTTTTCATGAATTTTCATTTCTATTTCCTTACTTTTAATTTGGTGTTATCTGGAAGAAACTGAAAATTATTTTGTGAATTTAAGCTTGTAAAACCAGTCACCCACATATAATATACAATGTCGATTGAAAAAAATAAGCACTTGATTCCTCAATATTTTTATATTTCCAAATGGGGAGGTTGCTAGATGTTCAATAGGTAAGTAAATGGAACATTACTTATAAGAAGCAGTAGTTTCCTGGGGTGCCTGGGTGGCTCAGTTGGTTAAGTGTCCGACTTCAGCTTAGGTCATGATCTCACTGTACCTGAGTTCAAGCCCCGTGTTGGGCTCTGTACTGACAACTCAGAGCCTGAAGCCTGTTTTAGATTCTGTGTCCCTCTCTCTCTCTCTCTCTCTGCCCCTGTCCCACTTGCACTCTGTCTCTCTCTTTCAAAAATAATAAAAAAAAAAAAAGTAGTAGTTTCCTTTCTATGGAATTACTAACTAGATGTCAAGCACATTTCTAAGTTATATTACTCACTATACAGGACTTCTGAAAAGAAACACTTAAAAACATAATAGGATTATAGTTAGTATGAATTTCAGTATTCATGTTTGTTAAATGAATAAATTTCAAAAAAATGTTTCCTACTACCTTAAAATCACTGTATCATTTTGCCGATTCAAATATCCTTCATTGGCAAGTAAGTCCAAACGGAAAAATCTATTATAACCCCAGCATTCTCCAACTTCAAAGTCAGATGCAAATTCTCGAATGATATTTTTGGTAGGATCATTGCAGGACTGATGAACCATCTCTACACGATACTCATACCTAAATTTGAAAAACAGACTATTAATACAGAGTTAATAAACAAGAATAGAAGACAAACATACTGAAACACTAAGTAGGTCATTAATTACCTGAGAAAAAACTTATTGACACTTACATTTCTTTCAGAAATGACTATCATTTATAAAGACACCAGTTTTGTAATGGGCTCCGACAAAATGATTGACACCAGGTCCTTTTTCCCTCTTAAAAATGTTTACCAATAGAGGTGCCTGGGTGGCTCAGTTGGTTGAGCATCCAACTCAGCTCAGGTCATGATCTCATGGCTTGTAGGTTTGAGCCCCGCATTGTACTCTGTGCTGACATTGCAGAGCCTGCTTGGGATTCTCTCTCTCCTTGTCTCTCTGTTCCTCCCCTACTTGTGTTCTCTCTTAAAAGAAATAACTAAAAACTTAACAAAAATTTAAAAAACATGTTTACCAATATAGCAGGTATAAAACAGCACCTCAAAAAATAAATAAATTTTGTATAAAATAGTACTTTCAAAGTTACTTTTGCTTTAACAAAGGTACTTACTCACAGGGATGCTAAATATAATTAAAAATGACAAATTATTAAATATTGGTGAGGATGTAGAGAAATATGAACTCTCATACACTGCTGGTAGAAAACATAGAATTGTGCAGTCACTGTGGAAAAGCTTGGCAAGTCCCCAAAGATGTTATAAACACAGAATTACCATATAATCCTGCAATTCTATACTAGGTGTATATTCAAAAGAAACAAAAACATATGTCCATATAGAAACTGTACGGGATTACTCATAATAGCCAAAAGTTGCATACAACCCAAATATCCATCAGCAGATGAATGGATAAACAAATTGAAGTATATACTTAAAATTGGATATTATTCAGTCAGTATATGCTTCAACATGAGCGAACCTTGAAAACACCATGCTAAGTGAACAGACGCCAAACACAAAAGGTCCGACTATAGGATCTTCTATATGAAATAGCCACAGTAGGCAAATACACGGAGACAGAAAAAGCAAAATTATATTTATCTAGGTATAGGGGAAGAAAGGAATATGGAGTGTTTACTTAATAGGTATGGGGTGTTCTGGGGTGATGAAAACACTCTGAAATTAGAAAGAGGTGATGGTTTACAACACTCTACATGCATTGAATTCCACTGAATTGTATATTTTAAAATGGTTAATTATTCTTCCAATCCATGAGCACGGAATGTTTTTCCATTTCTTTATATCTTCTTCAATTTCCTTCATAAGCTTTCTATAGTTTTCAGCATACAGATCTTTTACATCTTTGGTTAGGTTTATTCCTAGGTATTTTATGATTCTTGGTGCAACTGTGAATGGGATCAGTTTGTCTTTCTGTTGCTTCATTATTAGTGTATAAGAATGCAACTGATTTCTGTACATTGATTTTGTATTCTGAGAATAGCTGAATTCATGTATCAGTTCTAGCAGACTTTTGGTGGAGTCTATTGGGTCTTCCATGTATAATATCATGTCATCTGCAAAAAGTGAAAGCTTGACTTCTGGAAACAGTGTGGAGGTTGCTCAAAAAATTAAAAATAGATCTACCCTATGACCCAGCAATAGCACTGCTTGGAATTTACCCAAGGGATACAGGAGTGCTGATGCATAGGGGCACTTGTACCCCAATGTTTATAGCAGCACTTTCAACAATAGCCAAATTATGGAAAGAGCCTAAGTGTCCATCAACTGATGAATGGATAAAGAAGTTGTGGTTTATATATACAATGGAATACTACGTGGCAATGAGAAAGAATGAAATATGGCCTTTTGTAGCAATGTGGATGGAACTGGAGAGTGTTATGCTAAGTGAAGTAAGTCCTACAGAGAAAGACAGATACCATGTTTTCACTCTTATGTGTATCCTGAGAAACTTAACAGAAGACCATGGGGGAAGATGAAGGGAAAAAAAAAAAAAAAAAAGATAGAGAGGGAGGCAGCCAAACCATAAGAGACTCTTAAAAACAGAGAATAATCTGAGGGTTGATAGGGAGTGGGAGGGAGGGGAGCTCCCGGTGGGTGATGGGCATTAAGGAGGGCACCTGTTGGGATGAACACTGGGTGTTGTATGGAAACCAATTTGACAATAAATTTCATATTAAAAATAAATAAAATAAAATAAAATGGTTAATTATATGTTACATGAATTTCACCTCTACAATATTAACTTGTTACTTCTATTTTTAAAATGAGTAGTGAAAAACTCAAAATACATAGAAAAACAATCAAGAATATTAAAAATCTGGGGGAGAATACATTAATGCAGATAGTCAAATACATCTGGGTTCAAAACAGATAAAAGTTTAAGATCAATAGTATATGTGCTGCCAAAGCAAGCACAAAGATCAACAGAAAAAAGTAAAAACTCACACTGTATGAAAAACCATATAATGTATGAAAGAAGTTCCTTTACCAGCTTTAGTTCTTTAAAATCATGACAAATACATACTTGTATTTCTAACAAATGTGGGAATTAATCCAAATTAAAATACTTAACTTAGCATCTAAACCCCAATCTTAGATAAAACTAAAACCTTAAATTTGAATACTCCTTTTACCAAACTGAAGGCTCTGAATAAATACAATAAGGTTCACTTAAAATTTTAGAATTATTTAATTACTCCTCCAGGAAAAATTCAACTCTTTCCTTAAGCAACTCAAAGAAATTCCCTTCTCTAAAACAAGGCACTCAGCAAGGACTGTAGAGTCAATTTCAGGATGTCACTCATATGCAAATATTCTCTGAAAGTCTATACACGTGTATGCCAACACACCTTTAGAGAGATACTTAAGCATAATGAAATTATGATAGTACTTCTGCAGCATCCCAGATGATACTAAAATATACTAGATAATGACACAAAGATTTAAGTTTTTATTTCATATTTTGGCAGTTAAACTACTTCACTGTTCAACTCTGAATTCCATAACTGAATGACATTTTAATATTAATGAAAAAGTATTCAAAACTCTCCTCTAGGTTTATTGAAGTGTTAAGAGAATTAACAGATAATAAGATGTCATTTTATCAGAATAGAAAGGTCTCGCTAAAGTATTTAGATAATATTTAACAAATATATGAATCATAATCTTTTTCAACCTCAGTATCCTGAATGTTTCATTATCACTGATAACATTTATTGCTGTTTATAAGACAATGTGAACTTTAGGTTCCTGAAGTGTATATGATCAACAATAAAAGCACAGAAATAAAATCAGTACCAAAGTCAACAGAAATGTCACAAAATCTATCTATCAGTAACAGAGAAAGGAAACTTTCCAATGCAAGAAATAGAGATAGATCAAGAAATAGCTTAATCAAGAGATGAGGAGAGGCCCAAGATTTAATGGTAGCAACAGGGACACAAACAAAATCCTGTAATCACTGAGATGCTTATAATTCTGCCCTCGATCAACCACTTTCCAACCAAAATGGCTCATTTCAGAGAATCAAAACAGCTTGGTCGTTAACAACAATACAGAAACCAAAAAGTCTGTGTTAAACCGATTGCTGTTAATGCCGATCTTGAGTGAATAATTTGAGCCATCACTGTATTACCATCTGTGAAATGGGACTAATAATATAACCTACAGCTCACAAGGGGATAAAGAAAAATGGTACTATAAAGCACAGTGCTTGGCATAAAGTAAATACATAGCAGATGTTAGCTGTTACAGTAACAACACAGGTTAGAGACACGCCTATGTGGTTCTGTCATTTAAGCGCCAACTATTGATTCTGGCTCAGGTCATAATCTCACAGCTAGTAAGATCAAGCCCCGAGTCAGGCTCTAGGCTGACAGCACAGAGCCTGCTTGGGATTCTCTCTCTGCCCCTCCCACACTCACTCAGGCACATGCAGGTGCTTTCTTTCTTTCTCTAAATGAATAAACATTAAAAAAAGAAAGTACAGGTGAGTCCACTGCTAAAGATCACACAGGAGATTTGAAGCAAAGCCAACAGCTAAAACATACTTATAATTCAAAGGCAGAATCCTTTCCATATCACTAGCATTATTCATAGTTTGACTCCCCAGTAGGGGCAAGAATATTCTGCATTAAGGTTAGTCTATGTCAGAAGTTGTTAAAATGTAATCTGTGTGCCCAAGGGTCAGCTCCTAAATGGTCCTATTAGAGATCCAAAATGTCAAACCATTATCGTAATATTAAGTTGTGTGCCTCTTTCATTGTGAGGACATTCGGAATAATGGTGCAGAAGAACAGTAGTTAAAAATGTGCCAGTAAAGGGGCACCTGGGTGGCTCAGTCAGTTAAGCTTCCAACTTTGGCTCAGGTCATGATCTCGCAGTTTGTGGGTTTGTGCCCTGTGTCAGGCTCTGTGCTGACAGCGCAGAGCCTGGAGCCTGCTTCACATTCTGTGTCTCCCTCTCTCTGCCCCTTCCCTGCTCATGCTCTGTCTCTTGGTCTCTCTCTCAAAAATAAACATTAAAAAAATTTGTTTTTAATGTACCACTAAAGTCATTAAATTATTCAGTACTACACACTTTCAGACAGTGAAACAAAATGCCAGTGTGTCTCAGGAATGTTTTTGATGAAGTAGTAAAATTGATACAGTTTATTAAATCTCACCTCTTGGTATCACAAAATGGGACACATACACAAAGTACTTTTGCTGTATAGTCATGTACAATGGTTGTCTTGGGTAAATAACTTTAACTTAGTTGTAAATTCACTAGTCACTTTTTTTGTGTAATATCAAATTAAAAGAACAACAATAAACAATGGTTATTCAGTTGTGGATATCTGGCAGACATTTTCTGGACCAAAACATCTAAAGAAAAAAAGTTCCAATATTGGTTGCCAATGACAAAACACAAGCTTTGAAATAAAAAAAGTCCTAACTCTGGAAAATCTGGAGGTGCTACGTAAGCTTAAAAGCTTTCTAACAGAGGCACCTGCATGGCTCAGTCAGTTAAGGGTCTGACTCTAGACTTCAGCTCAGGTCATAATCTCACAGTTGTG